AATCTTATCATCAATGTTGAAAACAGATCCTTTTTCAGGATGCTTTGCTGAATAGAAAAGTTCAAAAGAGTTCCAAAGAACAGCATTTATAGGAAACACAAATCTTTTGTAACTTTATAAATGTTGTACTGTCTCTTTTGTTCAAATTAATATATCGACTAAAGTATTTTAAAATATTTTGCTGAATAAAAGTATTACGTTCTTAAATATATATTAGGATTCAAGTAATCTCATCTAATACATTTATATATATAGTGTTATATATTTGTGTGTGTGTTTACATTTCTATAGGTGGTATTTCAAACGATTATTAGTATTATTAATATAATTTGTCTCATTCAAACTAAAAATAATAATTAAGTAATTCTTTTATTATCCAGTTTGCTACTTCACTTTTAATTCAGGAATCTAAAAGTCGTTCTCAATTCAGTTCTGAAAAAGTGCACAGCTCGTCTTCATTCCTGCCAAAATCTGTCTGATAGCATCTGAGCCGAATCCAGCAGCATTACAGATCCTCCAATAGGAATAAACATAGATTCCAGGTTCCTGATAGTATCTCGAACCGCTGTAGGTCTAGGAAAACATCTCGGATTTCATGAGATACAGCTATGAATCAATAGGTCTGATGCTGTCCAGGATGAAAAATCAAGACTTTTATTGGATCATTCCCAGTAGGGTTGTGACGGTGAGGAAATTTTCCCACCGGTTAATCGACGTGTGACAACACCGGTAATACCGGTATCACGGCGGGGGCAGGGCGGTCCTTCTTTTCCTCACTTTCCTTCCTTTTAAATAGCTTGTAAAAGCTGCGTGTGCATTTTACTTTCAATTTGAAATAGCAGCAATTCGAAGTAACACAATTGTTCATTTTGTTCGTTCGAATTTTCCCTCTTTTCCTCGCTTTTAAATAGCTTAAAAGCGCCGTGCGCATTTTACTTTCACTTTCGAATTAACGTCAAACTCACTTTAGCGTATATATATATATAAAACATAGAACTTTTTTTAACAAAACAAATAAAAATGCACCATGCTATAGGGCAGGCTATGCCTAATATAAAATAACAAATAACTTACATAAAGTTTAAATGTACAAAACTAGAAACAAGTAAACATGTATAATATATAACCTAATAAATAAGAAACGTAGAACGCTTATTAGCAAAACGAGTAGGAAAGCTCTCTCCTCACTAGAGAAATTAAATCTGATCTGTGATGCGACTGTCGTTCGGCACGCTGCATTGAGCAGCCGCGTTCAGTTTTTAATTGTAGTGTCTGTTCTTTTACTGAACTAAATTATTTTTATTACTATAAAAAATCAAAACGACGGTGGGGGTCGGTGACGCAGTGGGCAAGTGACGTAACCGGTGTTGCTGCTTAACACCGGTATAACCATTTATCGCGGCAAGCCTAATTCCCAGATATTTCAGGGGGAATGGGAAGCATGTGATTTATTTTATTTTATTTTTCCCCTAAAATCACATAGGTTCTCATTGGCATCCATTGGTGTGATCAGATGTCATAACTTCACGGAAATTCTAAATGGATAATGACTTAATGGCTACTCATGGCTCTTTGTATGCCAGCGCTGACTGATGGCTGCAAAGCAACACATGCAAAACAGACTTTGAAAAACATGCTAGGTGCAATTTAAAATTAGAGCCACTGAGAGCTCTCTAGCTTTTTTTTCTACTTTCAATAAGAGTAGAAATAGAGTATATTGTGAATATATGTTTGAATGTTTTTCTCAGAAAGCACACAGGAACTTCATCAGCTGTGTTTGACGCTATCTGATGTCTTAACGCTGCAACAAAAGGCCTTCTTCACACTATTGCTCAACAGTAATACTGCGCTCTGGCAGACTTACAGGATGCAGCTCTCCTATGACCATAGAGCTGGCCATCTCGCGTGCATCTGTCGAGTGGCCGACATCTTCAAAGCTCTCTGTGGCATCTCCACCCGCCTGCTCTCGCAGCACCTCCTCTCCACCCGGGTGCTGTGGACACCAGCAAACACATCAGATCATCCAGTTCAAACTCGCAGGCAAACCCAGTAATGCTTACTAATACTTAGCATGCTTATTGACCCCTTTGACCTTTGAAAAATGTTGCCTAGGAAATTATCAGTTGATAATGTCATGCAACTTAAAATACCCTGTGTGCACTTTTAGATCTAGCAAGAGTACTGTTACTAGATAAGACAGTTCTCTAGATCGAGATGATATGGAAAGAGGTGAAATGTCAGGTTTTATAATCCAATCACTGCGAGGTGCACCACAGTGTGTGGTGCAACTACGGCTTCCCTTTATATTAATCTGATCAGTCTTAAATCAAAAATAACTCTGCATTTTTTAATTAGTTATATTCAGGTTTCAACATGGTTAATGCACTAATGCTAATTTCACATCAAACGCATCAGTTAGCAACTGCTGTAATCAAATCTCTTCTGTCCAACTTTGACTTTCTAAATGTATGCCTTTATTGCGCTATATTAATGCATCATTCATTGCATTATATAATGCACATATATTTTAGTCCTATTATTATGCATTACACAATTCCAGTGCAAAGGTACTATGCTTTTTTACACAATGCATTACTAATGCATGCATTACACAATTCCAGACCGACGATATTTTAATGCGAATGTTTTAGCACTAACATTTATCATCTGAGGCTCTGTTTTAAAACATACCTCCTCGAGAAACTTCGTGACGTCGTACACTTTATTATGAATGATAATCCATGTGCTTTTAAAAGAGTTCCGCTCCTCCACCTCTGACAATCGATAATATGTAACACCCGTTCCCTCTGTTTCGTCGTTTTCCATTGGTTTGTTTAGATGTGTTAAATGTGTTCGGAAGGTTTCAGAAGCTCTGCTTGCTGATCGATCACCTCTCGTGCTTCAATAATACTCAATACCAACAGCTGCATTTCCCAACTCGCCAGGCAACGCCCATTCCGCTCCAGGCGAACTCTGATTGGATGATATCAGACCTGGGTTGCCTGGCGAGTCTGTTTTGATTGGACCGAGGGCTGTCAATCAGCTCACTGGGTCATAAGTTTCGGCGAAGCTCACGGAGTCACTCGGCAGAAGTTCACGAAAGTTCACGATAGCGTAGTTCTCACGCGATACGGAAGCGTTGCCGTTTATCGCATCACGTTAATCTAGCGATGCCCGTTTGTCAAGATGAAGTGGGTTGCCCTTAAAGCCATTATAGCCGCCTATTGTTGATCTTGTTTCTGTCAGATAAGAGTATGTTCACTGGAAACAGTGGCACGCGAGCTTCACAGCAGTGTTGCCAGGTCCGCGGTTTTCCCTCGTATTTGGGCTACTTTAATTAACACTTGCCGCGGGTTGAAGCGACCCCAATAACGCGATATTTAGCCCCTGGAATGCGAAATGTAGCGGGGGAACCCCACCAAAAAAACGTGCAATTTACCCACCGGTTAAATTGGGCTTGTTTTGAGTAGCGCTTGAGCGGGATTTGTTGTGAAAACCTGGCAACCCTGACTAACAGTTACCGCCAAAAGCTCGCGCTCTAGTAACATCACATCAGCACTTGTTGTTGTGTAACCTTCAGTTGAGGTAATTCTTTCTTTCTTTCTTTCTTTCTTTCTTTCTTTCTTTCTTTCTTTCTTTCTTTCTTTCTTTCTTTCTCTCTCTCTTAATTTCTTTCTTTCTTCGTGTCAGCACACTGTAAAGTTTCTTTCAGAGTTATGTTTCATAGATAGAGTTAGTCTTATCTGAGGTAATTACTGACAGAATATGCGCACAGTTTAATTTAGTCTTTGGACCAAAATAGTCACTTTAACCAACAATGACTTGCTTGGTTTTAATCCTCATCATTTTCTTTTCAGAATGAGTTCTTTGTTTTTCCTCAATCTTCCGGACCTGAGGAGTTTGTGTTGTGTAAATCTGTTCTTTGCGAACAATTGCGATGAAGGAGAAATGAGAAACAAACAAGTGAAGGCCTGCAGGTGAAAACACTCATATAATGTGTGCTGGTTATACAACTATATTTTTAGTTTGTCACACATTTATTAGATTCGTGATGGTTGTCTTATATTTAGAGGCTTGGCATTATACCTTTGACCCATAACTTACTCGATTTGTTAACTGCTTGAAACACTGGTTAACAATGCATTTAGTTTTTGAGATTGTATGGCTTTTTCTCATTTAGGGCCTTGAATGTGCAAAGTTTAGACTCGTAGATGTGTTTTGAAAAGGCTGTACAAAAGCATGCCAGGTTTTCATGCAATTCACCAAAAATCAGCACTTTGAATAAATAAAACCAAGAAAGAAAGCAATAACAATTTGCCATTTTACCTCACGAGGGTCTGACATAAAAAGGCAGAGGCTATATACAGTGCAAGGATAAAAACTATTTGCAAAAAAATACTATTTATGTACAAATAATGATACATACTGTATTTATACTTCGTTGTAATAGTCACTGCATGTAGACATAATAAAATAAAAGACATTTTTAACAAAAAATATTGGGGTCAAATTGACCCCTATCACTATACTGATATATATTATATCTCTTACAAGCTGCAATAGATTGTGTGTATGTTTCATGACTTTTCATTTAGTTGATTTTTGGCAAATTGCACGGTCAGTTTGACCTCCAATGCAAAAGGGTTGATTTTCAACCCAGCAGCAGGGTTAAGTACTGTATGTAAAACAATATCTCTACGGTTGCGGTCTGTGAAATCAGCCGGACAGACCACGAGGCGGTTTTCTAGAAAGATGAAGCGCGTAATATTTCGTTATCTTGACCTCTGAAGTGTCTTTCAGGGAGCTTGTTCTCTTGCATTCAGACATTGTTGCTTCTCCGGTGTTGGGCCATTTTGGGGGCATCACTGTTATAATGACTGTAAGTATGATAGATTTTATATTTACATCCAGCTTTTTTTATTATTGTTAATATTGGTAATGTGTGTGTGTATATATATATTTGTAATGGTGATTGGCTCCTTTGGTCTCATGAAGGAGAAATGAGAAACAAACAAGTGAAGGCCTGCAGGTGAAAACACTCATATAATGTGTGCTGGTTATACAACTATATTTTTAGTTTGTCACACATTTATTAGATTCGTGATGGTTGTCTTATATTTAGAGGCTTGGCATTATACCTTTGACCCATAACTTACTCGATTTGTTAACTGCTTGAAACACTGGTTAACAATGCATTTAGTTTTTGAGATTGTATGGCTTTTTCTCATTTAGGGCCTTGAATGTGCACAGTTTAGACTCGTAGATGTGTTTTGAAAAGGCTGTACAAAAGCATGCCAGGTTTTCATGCAATTCACCAAAAATCAGCACTTTGAATAAATAAAACCAAGAAAGAAAGCAATAACAATTTGCCATTTTACCTCACGAGGGTCTGACATAAAAAGGCAGAGGCTATATACAGTGCAAGGATAAAAACTATTTGCAAAAAAATACTATTTATGTACAAATAATGATACATACTGTATTTATACTTCGTTGTAATAGTCACTGCATGTAGACATAATAAAATAAAAGACATTTTTAACAAAAAATATTGGGGTCAAATTGACCCCTATCACTATACTGATATATATTATATCTCTTACAAGCTGCAATAGATTGTGTGTATGTTTCATGACTTTTCATTTAGTTGATTTTTGGCAAATTGCACGGTCAGTTTGACCTCCAATGCAAAAGGGTTGATTTTCAACCCAGCAGCAGGGTTAAGTACTGTATGTAAAACAATATCTCTACGGTTGCGGTCTGTGAAATCAGCCGGACAGACCACGAGGCGGTTTTCTAGAAAGATGAAGCGCGTAATATTTCGTTATCTTGACCTCTGAAGTGTCTTTCAGGGAGCTTGTTCTCTTGCATTCAGACATTGTTGCTTCTCCGGTGTTGGGCCATTTTGGGGGCATCACTGTTATAATGACTGTAAGTATGATAGATTTTATATTTACATCCAGCTTTTTTTATTATTGTTAATATTGGTAATGTGTGTGTGTATATATATATTTGTAATGGTGATTGGCTCCTTTGGTCTCAGAGCCTCCTGTGACCTTAGAAAGGAGAACCAGCCTACTTTATATCTCACAATTCACGCTCGGAATTGCAAGATAAAAATACAAGATTGCGAGATATAAACGGAGAACCTTTATTTTTATTTTTTTATTTTTTTAGAACTATTCCGTGGCTGAGAAAAAAAACAACAACAGCGAGATGATAAACTTAAAATTCTAAGAAAAAAGGCAGACTTTTTTTTCTGTCTGTCTTAGGTTCATGCAGGAAGAAAAGGCTGAAGAAATATTTGTGGTTTAGTACACTTAATTATTTTTGTCTCTCGATTGTATTCCTACATACAGTACATAGAAGGCAAATGCTCTTGCTCACAAAATAGTTTTCAGTGAAGTGTAACAATTATATTTCATGATGATTTGTATTAACGCCAAAATGGATCATTTAAAAAAAAATAAAAATAAATCAATGTCAGGCAAATATGATTTATATTGCTTTTCCTGTCAAAACATGTTATTGTTCTTCTTTTTCCCTCAGTGTTCGTGATATGTGCATCACCTTGCTTGAAGCTGTTGCATATGCGTGACTTTTCATGAGGGTGTGTGTGTGTGTGTGTGTGTGTGTGTGTGCGCGCGCGTCAGCACAGCTCGTGCAAAGGCATGTCCCGTGCGAAGCGAAATATGAGGCACATTCCACACACTCTGTCATCATCTCCTTTCCTGTCCTGAACTAGGGCCAATTAAATCAGCACTTACCTTCAGTAATGCCTATGATTTGAATCCGATGCACATTTTACAAATGTTGTGAATGTGCTGTCAGACTGCAGTGGGTGCACTGCTGAATAAATGAGTATGTTGTGCTTGTGTAACTCCTTGGCTTTTGTATTTGTGTAGCCAAAAGGGAAAAGCCTTTGTAGCGACACAACTCACTGAAATGAAATGAATGAAGTTGTGCGTTTCTTTTCACAAGTCTGTGATCACTAGCTTTGGTCTTTGTTTGATGTAGCATAACGTGAGTATTTTCTTGTTTAACTGTCCATTCTGATTGTTTTTGTTCCCTGCACTTTGTCTTAGATTAGATTTTACAAGAGCGGTATTACCCAGGCCTTTGCACAGAAACATGGTCTACAGGTGAGTTTAAAGACGTTTTTCTGAGGATATGTTTTGTCCAGAAAAAGGTCTCAAATGTTCATGTTGCTCCATGAGTTTGGTCTGATCCTACACTACTGACTTGCCTGAAGAGTGTCTCTCCACTGCGTCTGAACATACACTACAGTTCAAAAGTTTAGGGTCATTGGGATATTTTTTTTTTGAGTAAAAAAGAAAAGCATTTATTTGAAGTGTTTGTGTGTGTGTGTGTGTGTGTGTGTGTGTGTGTATATATGTATGTGTATATGTATATATATATATATATATATATATATATAGGGGATGCTCCGATCGGTATCGGACAGTAATCGTATTTTATGACTCGATCGGTACTCCCCAACTTGGCCGGTCTCGGGAACCGATCGCAATTTGATAACGTCAACACGTGACGACGTACATGATGCTTGGGGACATAAATGATTTGCCGCCACAGTCGTGTCATCACCCGGATCACATCCATCACATGGAAATGTTATGACGTTTAAAAATTAGCTGTTTGTTGTGTATGTTTTGCATGATGATATGATGAATAGGTGGTTCATTTTTAACGGCAGATTCAGTGATGTTAGAGCTGATCTGCGCCTCACTGCACACGTCTGCGGCGCGTTATGGCTCCACGGCCACCGGAGCTGATCGCGGCTGCTCTAGTCAGTGCTTATGTTTATCAGCCAGCCGCGGCACGTTTCTGAAGCGGCTCTCCGCTCTGCTTGGCTAAAATAGTCTTTTGGGAGTTGTCTACTCCGTATCGGCTGCAAAAATCCTGATCGGAGCATCCCTATTATATACGGTATGTGTAAATAATGTGATATTCTGCAGTAGATAATTATGTAAAATATTATATAGTAATAAATGACTGCAGAATTGCCAAGAATATAGATTTAGAAAGACTGAAAATTCACATGAATGAATGTAACTGTTCAGACTGAGGTGGCAATGCAAAACATCAGACCTGTATCTGATTTAGGACCACAGATACTAGAATCGATTTGTACTATTCAAACTGTTATGAATAAACCGATATGAGTCTCATATGAGCAAAAAGGTTTGGGCCACTTTTGCCCGCAGTGTTAAAATAGCATTTGTGCTTCTCATAATCTCTTTCTTTGTCTCGTAGTTCAACCCTCCTCAAAGGGTATTTCCTGCGGTTCTGCAGACGTGTTTGTCTTATTCTGTGACTGCTAGACTGGCCCCTAAATGGAACAAAGCAGGCCAATATCTTGTAGCAGGTGAGAAGCAGTATACTTACAAAAGCCTGAAACCTTTCCATGAAAAAAAAAAAAAGTCAAGCTGAATTTTGCCTGTGCATGGTACATGCAATAGAAATTCACAATTATTGCTCGCTGAATGTGAAGGCAGTCATTCACTAGTGTAGGTTGAGGGTAAAGTTCACTTTGTGGCTGATTTAGCTGGTGTGTAATCTTGTTCGCTTCACCTTGAGCCTTCTTTCTAGTGCAGACATGAGTAATTCATGTAGTCTAATAGACTGGATGATCCCTTTATCTTTGCTGAGCTAATATTTTTATTGCCTCAGCTCAAGGATAGCAAGTGTCAGCTCAGCCAAGTTTAACAGAAATGAGCACACACATTGAATTTTGGAGTTCATCAACGTTGTCATGAATTATGTCTGTGCCAGTTTAACGCACCGTAATTACAGTTACTAATTTTATGGTAATTAATCTGGAAAATGTGTGTGATGCTTCTAAAACAAGAGTCAATTAGCCGGTCATTCACTATTGTTTCTTATCCAAGATTGATTGCATATTAGATATTTTATGTATAAGTTAAAATGAGTGCATGATAAGATAATCAGACAGTTTGATGGCCTTGTGTTGGAGGCCGTTTCTTGAAAACGTGTGCGGTACCATCCTTGAGCTCAGTTAAAGCTGCATTCATGGCTCTCCGAAGTCTTTGGAGTTCTCTATCAAAGCCCAGCAGAGGGAATTCACCATAATTACAGCTCTCCTAGTGAATATGTGAGGGTATCATGTCATCACAAATTCTTCTTAATGATCTTACCAGATCACTATGCTCCCCCATCACATAGCTTTTAATGAATTACACAGAAATCTCAATGCAGTTTGTTTCTTCATCTTAGAGTAACAGTGATTTTTCCTTCCTTCTTTCCCAGGAAAAGATTTCCTCAGTGACTCTGGAAAACTCAATGCAGTTGGTAGGTGGGAGGCGTCTGTATACTTTGGCACGAAACGCTGCCGTTTGTGTTCACATTGTTAGACTCCTGATCGCAGGCAAGGAGTGACTAATGTGGTTGAGTACTTAAATGTATAGAAAAACATTTAAATGTACTCCTACTAGTGAAAACATGGTCTTTTTGTTCTGTTTTGCTCACTGTTAGCACGTTTCTGAATAATGTACTCCTTTTGTTTTATCTCAGAATCATTTATGCTTTCGGCGTCACGTTTTAAGCCACAGTTTCTCATGCTACGCTCCACCCTAAAGCCTAGATTCCTTTCAGAGTTCACTCAGTAACTGATGGTGACACAGACAGATGTTTTCTCATTCTCTCTGACTCATGCTCACATCTGTACTCTTGTATGTTCGTTCACAGTGCTTGAGCTGAGTATCACTGAGACTCAACTGTGTGTCAGTGTGGAAGCCAACACCGTCAGACTTCCTCCAGCTGTGGTAAGAATTCAAACACCTCCAGTCTGCGTTCACAATCTCCGTTCTAGCCTCTTATGACCTATGAACCAGTTTACTGCTGTTGTCATGCATTACACATTTGCCTCAGTTCAAGCCCTTTGCCTTAGTCAGTTATCTACCTTACATCAACCTGATTGTGCTGAATAAACAGGAGAAAAAAAAGCTTTTCTCTTCATTGCTTGTTACTTTAAATGACTAGTTGTGCCCAAGTGGTGTGCTTGTTATTTATTTTCATAACAACTAAGATTATTTAAAAATGAATGTAAATTATTTAGTATCTAACAAATTATTCAAATGAAATAATAACAAATGAATAATAAAAATTATTAAAATAGTATGCATATATAAATGTGCATAAAATCATTTTGAGTAGTCATTCATAATTGATTTATGATTTATACACAAATGTAATATACTAAAATACATGTAATACATCTATAATGTAAGTTAAATATTAATTTAAACTATTTGCATATAAAACTCTAAATAAATTGTATCAAATATAAATCGTATAATTCAGTAATTATATGCATGTCAGTATATCGATTACAAATATATTCATTTTTAAATATATAATAATATATTTCTACTATCTACATATACAACTATGATACATAGAGCATATATTTGCATAAAACATTTTTTGTATTTTATTTTAACAAATAGCTGCCTGTTAACACATTTTTGAAATAATAATTGACATAAAATGAGACCAGTTATTCAGAGTAAGACATGAAGTAGTCAAAGTTTGTATTGGATTGCAATATTTCTTGTTCCTGTTTCAGTGTGAGGTATTAATTCATGTTTGGCTGTCTTCTGCCAGATAAAGGATTTTGATATTCCTGCTCCTGTGGTGAAAAACTTCCTCTGCACTGATGATGCTTTGTTGCATACAGTGACGCCAAATAACTGGTGCCACATTCTGCCAAGGTGTGTGTTTGTATGCATGTGCAATCAGACTGCTTTATACTTTGTTCTTACACTTTTTCTAGAGCTGTACTGTTGCTCTGATGTACTGATGGGCATCATGGAGGGAAAAGGTCCTATTTGTAATCTCCTTTGTTGGCAGTGTTAGATTTAGACGCATTGAATTACTTCTCCTGCATTGTTTTTGTTTGTGTGTGTGTGTGAGAGCAGTATGAAGAAAGGCCAAATCATTAGCATCAGTCGCAGGATTCCACAGGAAAGCCCGTTCCAATCTTATATGGAGTTTCAAAAGCACTGGAGCAACATGGTAAACATTACCACCTGAAGAAACTAATAGCGCACAGCTCTCCTCAATAAGCCTCATGATTTGTTTCATGCCTATAGCACAAGTGGTGTTCAGACTTTGTGCCACATTTTAAAGGAATAGTTCACCCAAAAATGAACATTTGCTCAAGATTTACTCACCCTCAGGCCTTCCAAGATGTAGATGAGTTTTTCTTCATCAGAACAGATTAAATATAGCATTACATCACTTGCTCACCAGTAGATCCTCAGCAGTGAATGGGTGCCGTCAGAATGAGAGTCCAAACAGCTGATAAAAACATCACAATAATCCACACCACTCCAGTCCATCAGTTGTGAAGTGAAAAGATGCATGTTAGTCATAAATCCATCAAGGTGTTTCCTATGAAATGTTTTAACTTTAAACCAAATACGAGTTCATTATACATAATAACACTTCCTTCAGTGAAAAAGTCCATCCCATGTTGTCCTCTCACATCAACATATTTGTTTAGAACTGTTTGCTTGTAAACAGTGCTTGATTTGTGCATATTTCTCTCCTGATTCAGACAGGAAGACTTTTTCTCTGGAGAAGCAATATTATGGATAGATGACTAGTATGTTGGCCAGAATCAACGGTTTGATGTTAAAAACGCACTGCTTTTCACTAGACCGGTGTGGATTATTGTGATGTTTTTATCAGCTGTTTGGACATTCTGACGGCACCCATTCACTGCAGACCATCCATTGAGGAGCAAGTGATGTGAAGCTAAATTTCTACAAACCTTATGTAGAAACAAACTCATCTACATCTTGGATGGCCTGAGGGTTAGTAAATTGTCAGCAAATTTTCATATTTGGGTGAACTATTCCTTTAAAATGTTATAAGCAATAGCAATGCTTGCCTTAGCAATCAGCACTAATAATTGTGTAATGGTGGTGTTGAGTGACACATTATCTGGCTAACCACCAAATTCATTAGAATTAATCTCCAACAAATTCAGAACAGTTTTTCACTGCATTATTAAATTAGAGCAAACCATTTACAGCTCATTAGAGGGTTTCAGGCTTTTTGATTTATTCACAGGACTCTGGAAGTGTTACTCTCTCTTGCCAGTCTGTTAATTTTTGTGTGTGTGTGTAGCACTCAGATCCTCTTCTGTTTGGTTTAGAGGTCACAATGTAACCTTTGATCACAAACCGACTCCGTCATGGGGCTTGGCTTTATCAAACAGAATTTGTATGTATGTGCAGACATGCACGGTTGCCCATTTATATTGTATATTCACCATCTGCTCAAACCTAAATCACATCCAAATATTTTGTTTGAAAGTGCTTGCTTGCTTGCTTACCGATACACACTAACACAGACAAACGCAAGATAATCTGCCCATTAAAAAAAACTTAATGGCCTGGTTTCACAGACCGGGCTTAGACTAAGCCAGAGTTAGGCCACAGTTCAATTAGGACATTTAAGTAATTTTTATAAACATGCCTTAGAAAAAAAGTACTGGTGTGCATCTTGAGACAAAGCAAGGGCACTGACATATTTTAAGATCAATCTGCAAGTTTCTTTCAGTTGAAAAAGCTCAGACTTACATTTTAGTCTGGGACTAGGCTTAAGCCTTGTCTGTGAAACCGGGGGAACGTCACTAAACTGTATTAATGTTCCTGCCTCTCTGGAACTGTCTGTCTTGCTCTTCTGTCTGTCTGTTTAACTGTCTCTCTCTCTCTCTCTTGGTTTAGTATGGATATCAGCTGCCCACAGTAAGTGAAGAGGAAGTCATCTACTGCAGTCTGTACTTTAAACCAATAGGTGACAAGCTGTTCACGTATCCTTTAGAAATGTTTCTAGTTTATGGTCAGTTCCCTGTTGTTAATATATTGATTTCAGCTATGTTTAGCACAAAATTTGCTCTCAATAAACTTGCATTAACTTCTCAAAAGCACCAATTTATAATATTTTTATGCTTGTGCTTATTATTTTTTTTATCATCAATCTGAAGGCATTGTTGCTTGTAATATAAATAATTTTTCAAACATAAATTGTACTGCTGGATTACAAATTGAATGTGAAAAGTAGTACAGCAGTCTGTCTTGACTGACATTCATGCAACATGATAATGACACCTAGTGGACATGAGCCAGATAGGTATAGTAGTTGAGACGGCTTGAACTCTTGATCAGAAATCACATACTGTGCTGTATACACTGAACAATGCCAACATGTGAAACCGGTTGCATGATGCAACATTTCAAACATTAGTATGACACATTGTTGCCACGGGACCTTATTACATTGCATTAATTTCATTGGTAATGTACAATTATCTTATATTAAATATTTAATCAATTTTTGGGAAAATCCTGATGCCTGTACAATCAAATGATGGATCAAGAATGGGATGTTAAAAATTATTTCTTCTGGTTGCTTCATATGTCAAGTGTTGTCAATATGTTCATATGTCAATGTCAAGTGTTTTAAAAAGCTGCATTTATTTGATCAAAAATGCAGTAAAAACAGAAATATTATTCCAATTTAAAATAACTGTTTTCTATGTGAATATATTGTAAAATGTAATTTTTTCCTGTGATGCGCAGCTGTATTTTCAGCATCATTACTCCAGTCTTCAGTGTCACATGATCTTCAGAAATCATTCTAATATGCTGATTTGCTGCTCGAGAAACTGCTTTCACTGCTTCATATTTTTATGGAAACCGTGAAAAAAGAAAAGCATTTATTAGAAATACTGTAACGTTTCATCAGTTTAATTCATCTTTGCTGATAGTTAGAAATAGTTTTAGAAATACTTAGATTTCTACAGTACTCTACACAATATACAGTACATGCACTATACTGAAGAAATAGACAAAGTAGGAGACTTCATATATGTTTCATCCCAGTGCAATGAGCCCCAGAACTCTGGGAATTCACCCTATTCCCAAACATGTTTCTCATTATTAATATTACATAACCCCCATTTTCACATTATGTGCTAGATCTCTGCACATAATGAATCAGAACTGCAATTACATCACACTTTGCAAGGACAAATGAAAGATTATAAACACCCCATACATTTTTTGTTTATCATGCTGCGTTTGGATCTTATTTATTTATAACCGCATTGTTCTTTGTTTTTTCTATGTTGGCAGTCAGAGATAAATATCCTTGACTTCCTGCTCAGATATCCATTGTGCTGTATCCGCACTCAGCCGGTACAGTGCTCTCCCAGAGTGGACCTGCAGGGGGTGCTGGGAACCTTCAAATCAGATCTGCAGGCCGGACTAGAGAGTGTGTGCGGTTTGCCAGTGCGGATGACCTGCGAGCCTTGCTACTACACCAGTGAACTGAACAGACCAGACACTCAGGTACTGCACACACACACACACGCGCGTCTATAAACAAACATGCCGTCACTTAGCTTTCTCTCCTGCTTCTAGCAATAAAGTAGCAATCAATTGAATTTGACATCAAGTACTCTGCTGCTTAGTATTACTTCTGACATTGCCCAGTTTGTTATGGCTATGCTCATCAGTGGCACAGATGCAGCTGGATGTGTTGCTTTATGGATGTTCCAAAGCCATTGAGATGCACGTGTTATCCAGATTTTACACTCATGTTGTGGATTATGCAGACTGTAGAAATCCCAAAAGAGACGGCATCTCAAAACACTTCACTGCACATGCAATGCTTATTAATGAATACAACTTCCAACAAAACCAGAAGCATCCACTTCAATAGCAAACAGCAAGATTTAGTCAAAGTCGTGGCTTTGAGGGTGGTGCACATACTCTGAGGGGATGCACAGTGGTGTATCAGTGACCCAGATCAGGCGCATGACATTTCCTCATCACAGTCCCCCCTTCATAGTTTCCTTTCTTTACTCTCATTGTCTATACAAAATGCAAAAGATAAAATTTATATGCAAATAAACAGATCAAAAACTCATCTATTGGCCTAAATTGGTTCTTTGATCTGCTTTGAGGACACATCGTCAGCCTTAGCTATAATATCAGTTTTCTTTTTCTTAAAGATAATATTTTAAAAGTGACATTTCATAAAATTGCAAACGTTCAAAAATAAAGACCCCTTGTTTAGTAGATGAATGACAAAATCTTAAACTTTCTCAAAATATAATAACTTGCCTAAACTCACAGTGAAAGTGGAGGGAATTACATCACACACATATGGGAAGTGTTTATATGGACAGTGAGCAAAGTGGTGTGCTGTGGTCTGCCTGCTAAAACAATCCTTGAGTTTGCTGGATAATTGACGCTTAACATTTATTACATAGAATACAAGTAAGAGTTTCCAATACCTGATACTACATTAGATCATCTCTTCCTGTTAGTTGTTGTTGGCAGATGAATGAGTCTAAAAGTCAGCCAGATGGTTTAAGGTTTAATTTATACTGGCCAGAGCTGAGGGTTGATGTTATTAAACTTTGACAAATGCTGTGAAACGTGATTTGAAACGCTATATGTGCCGTTTGTTAGTACAGATGGAAAGCTGGCGCAGAGGACGCTTTCATTAATCTCATAGACTGTAATGATTGATAATGGCAACATTAGGCAGCGATGATTAACTGACTGGTTCATTTATGTTGGATGTACAAAAGCATACTAGTGCCAGCATCGTTATCAACATACATGTTCAGCACAAATAATTGTTTAACTAAGAGGAACCTTACAGATTTCGTTATCGAGAAGTGATTTTTCCATGTATCTGAGAAAGCTCACAGATGTGGAGGTAGAGTCAGTCTGCCATAATATAACAGGATGTTTTGGGGTAATTTAAGTGTTGCAATGCGTGTTGGTGCAATTCTATATTTTAGTAATAAAATTAAATATTGAAAATGTCTATTTTTTTATTTCTAATAGTCCTTAGCCATCTTCAAGAAATGACTAAAAACACATCTGTTCTTTATTTGACCCTCTAACTCTATTCTATTTGAATTCTACTTTATCTATTTATCTTATTTGTTTATTAAAATAAAAAACTAACACTAGCTTTCTATTTTTTTTCTATTCTATCTACTTGTTTTTCTTTTTGTGTGTGTGTGTGTGTATATATTTATAAATATTAGAGCCCGACCGATATATCGTTTTGGCGATATTATCGGCCGATATGAGCCTGTCGCCGATATATCGGTATCGGCGAATATGCCGCCGATATTAATTTTTTTTTTACAGAACATATCATGCAGATAAAATGCTTGAAATGGTGTAATTACTTAGTTTGTCCAGCAGAGCGCGCTCCATTGTTTGCTACTGGCGACCTGGATGAAATGTTTTAAAGCTTAAGTCAATGGAAAACCATTGAAACTTTGAACGCCCATATCTCCGTAACGGCGCGGCGATTCCGCACCAAATTCGGGGGATCCCTTCAGCTCGAGGAACCCTCTCGAACGCGAATCGAGTGTACGTCTCGAGGCCCTCTTTTGAATGAAACCACCGCCACGTCGATAGCCCCCGGAGTTCGAGAGTTATGGGTGGTTGTGGAATTTAAAACTGGTTAGTGTCTTCTGCTAGTAATCAAATCATTTAAAAAACTATCTGAACTGCTAAATAACAGATTGGAGATTAAAATAATAGCAGATTTGTCTAATTTTAAATGAATAATAAAAACTGAGATATAAAATGTACTTAAGCCAGAATTTAAATGTTACTATGGTCAAATAAATATTCAAACCACGTGTGTTACAACTAACACCCCGTTACTTTGTGCATCGCACTCATCGCAAGTTTGTTAAATTGTAAAATGCCCTTACATATCTCTGTCACCATTATAAGTGTTTGATCACATTTGAGTGATCATTGCTAAAAATGTGTTTATGTGTGTGGATTGTTTATATATATATATATATATATATTTATATATTCTGTTTATGTATATACTGTATATAGTACCAGTCAAATATTTGGACACACGAATGGGAAAGTGTCCAAACTTTTGACTGGTACTGTACTATAATATACACACAGAATATCGGCCGATATATCTGTATTGGCCTTCTTTTTTTATTTTTTTTTTATTTTTTTATTTTTTATTTTTTTACGCCCTAATATCGGTATCGGCCCCAAAAAACCCATATCGGTCGGGCTCTAATATATATATATATATATATATGTATGTGTACCCTGCTACGTGTACAGCGTTAGGCTAACCGAGACTCATCATATGCACTTATTGTTCCTCTTTTGCTAGTTTTGACTGCTTCTATTGTCCTCATTTGTAAGTCGCTTTGGATAAAAGCGTCTGCTAAACGACTAAATGTAAAATGATTTAAATATAAATGGTGTAGTTGTAGTAGATTATTTATTTTTAAAAATAATCCTATAATAATTTAAATTAATAATAGGGAAAAAAAGCCTCAATTTTACAGTTGATTTATTACATAAAATAAATGTAGTATTTTATAGTTGAAATGTATATGTGGTATAATTTATAAATATTTCACATAATTTTGTCAATTTTGGCTCAAGATATCATGTCTGTAGTGTTACCCAATAGAGTTTTATGTATTGATCGATATCTTTTTAGAGTAGTGATAATGATAATTTAAGAAATCTGAAATTTCATGAAGGTATAATGGTAAATTTAACTTCAGTGAACCCTATAAAAGTAAAAAAATGTTTAGACATTGGTGGTTTGTATCACCACAGAATCAACCATATGTGTGCACTTACACAGGAAATATTTCCCTATTCACAAACTCCTCTTTCCTTACATTTCTAGTGCTTTGGGCCCCTGCCTGTAAACGTGACAACAGAAAACAGCAGCAGAGCTGTACTGAACCAGCTTCCCAGCAGCTGCCCACGCGACGCAGTGCAACACCGCTCCAGTCAGTGTGACTCAACTGGAAAACAGACTGAAAAGAAAAAGAGATCCAGTTTGGATTCATCTGTTGACCAGAAAGGCTGGATGTCCTCCAACTTGGCAACTCGGTCCTCTTCCTCTCCCACTAATGTTAATTTTACTCCCATCCAGTCACAGTCTGCACTTCCAAGACCAAAGCTTGTGCCAATCTTCAAAAACAAATCACACACCCGCCATGTGAACGTGACTGAGATGCTTGCAGTGAAACGGCAGCAGGGGCCGGAAGAGCAGAAGCTGACAGCAGTTAGAAGGCCTCTGTCATCGTCTTCCAAACCCCACTGCTCCACACCATCAGCCTCTTCTAACCAGTTCTCCAGGCCTCCAGCCCCGGAGCGGATGACTTTACCCTTTTCTAAGAGTAAGGAAAAGACCAACAGTGGAGTCACTGGGATTCTCCCTCCTCTGCCTTTAGTACAGATGCAGCCCCAAATCATGCCTGAGATCCCCAGCAATAGAGTAAGTAAGCCATGCAAACAAACAGCAATCTGTCCTGTACCAAAAACCTGTTGGATTTCTTAGAGCCCTATGAAATCCATTAGATTTTTTCCCCAATTCCATTAGATTTTATTTGACTATTTATTGGTTAAAATGTTAGTAATCAAAAAGCCAATGTCCAAGAAATTATTAAACGTATACCATTTAATTTATTACAAGTTTAACAAAAATACAATTTTTAGGGCCCAATAAAGCATGTTTTATCTTTTCTCAAATTCCATTATATTTTCCCAAATTCTCTGTCTTCTGTTTTAATGGTTTAATTAAATGTTAATAATCAAAGCATGTCTAATTAATTGAAACTTCAGAACTGTATGTATTTATTTATTAGAAAAATGGGGCCCTATGAAATATTTTATTTTAAATTCGTTGTGTTTTAATTTTTCTGGATGTTTTATCAAATTTTTTATAATCAATTTACTCTCAGAAATGGTGGTAATCAAATGAAGGCATAAAACATTACATTTTAAAAGATTAAGGGCCAGATTTACTGACAGTTTGTGCCAGCTCAATCCCAGTTTTGTCGTTTTAAAAACGACTGTCAGGATTTACTAAAGACACGCAGTGAGAAATTAGCGATAAAGTCGTGGATGGGAATTTTTGCGGCTGACCTTGTATATGCATTTGTAGGAGTGTCCATTTCAGATGCAAAATTTAAGGGAGGAGAGTATTTAAATAAGTCACACAACATGATTTACTAAGGTTTGCAGTAGTCGATTTACTGGTATTTGTGCCAGTATTTATCACCCAAAAAAAGCATATATTAACTCATTTTGTGCTTAACATGGATGAAATTGTTGCTGTCAGGAGGAGGCACCACAGAGAACAGAGAGTGTGTGGTAGAAGGGAGAAAATGTTTTCCACTCATTAATTTATTTGGATGCCAGAGGAAGACATTATCCGAACATATCCTTATGCTAATTTGCACTGCTCTTGGTACAGTAGATTGCGTTGGTCATTATGGAAATGAGATGTTGCGTCTGCATTCTTTAATTTGCGCAGTCAGTAGATCACCCGCAGAACTTTCCACTCCCATCAGTGATTTTATGGAACTGCGCTCTCGCAGTAGTTTGCCTTGTTTAGTATATCTGGCCCTAAATTGTTAATAAAATAAAAATTATGCAATTGTTTTTACTTTTTAGCAATCAAGGTGCTGCACAACTGAGGTTTGCAGTTAAAATTAAAACATGGAGGAAAAATTGTGGTTATTCCTTAAATTATTAAAAATCAATACAAAATTATTATTATTATTATTACTACTACTACTTTGAGTAGTACATTCTACTGAATGTATTATCTCACAATTTCTTCAATTTAAACTAAACATTTTGTTGTGAGGTGTCTGTGTATGATATATGACAATAGATTTTCTCAAATGAAATTGTAAAATGCTCATGAAGTGACTATCAGAGCATCTCATGTCCTCATATAATGAGACGGCAGATGCTGAAAACACCTCTGGTCTCACGCACGCTTGCTTATGTGTGTAGCAGACAAAACTGCAGTGCTTATTCACACAGAGACATGCAGAACATGCAGACTTCATATTTAAATATTCTTTTTGTGATTTTAATATTCACAGACACTTTGACGTTCTACAGTAAATTCGTTTTTTATGACCGGATTCTGTGATTCTGTCCACGTTTTCTGCATTGCGGAACAGGGCCCTAATTTCTAATCAGTTAAACTTACAAAAACGGAACTCCTTAGCAAATGCATGGTAAATTTTGCACAGGCAAGCATGGCTTACATTTTCTCATGTAAAAATTTAGCTTGCAACTTGCTGTATTTCTCATGGGACATCTTACACACTTGGCACGAGGCACAGATTTAGCAAGACTAGGCAAATTAAATGGTGCCGTTTCCTGAAAATAATTGATGAACCTACATGAATGATTAAATCTAGTGTAGTGCTTCTAATGGATCCTGTCTCGACATCTTTCAGGGAGACACGTTTGAGTCAAAACCAAAGAAGCTCAAACAGAGTGTACAGCATGTGGAAGTGTATGCGGCAAGCAATCAGGTACTTTGGCATATCTAATAGTCTGTTCTGTTTTGTTTTTTTACATTGCACATGTAGAAAATTTACCACAGAAATAGTCTTCATAAGGGCATCTCATTATCTTTAGTCAAAAACTTAGTTCGAGCGTTGGCGTCGTTGCCGTGTTTCACTTTTGCAGGGCAGAACAGTCTGCGATAGTCCAGAGCCCAGCAGTGTGACTGCTCATTGGCACACTTAGTCTAAATGAAAACATTATAAGCCTGGCATGTGTTCATGGTTTTGATTGGATGTCATTAAGAGAGAAGATAAGCTCCTATTTTTTCTTTATGATGGAGGCTACTAACAGGTGCAGCCATATAAAAACTCATAACATACCCATGGCTGGTTCATTTTATGGCTTGATGGGTGACCTTGAACTGTAGGAACAATAACAAGTGTTCAGCTCTTAGCAGAGTTTTGCATCAAGATACACTACCGTTTGGAAGAGTCTTGAAAGAAATTAATACTTTTATTCAGAAACGATGCATTACATTGATTGAAGGTGACCGTAAAGGCATTTGTAATGTTGCAAAATTTCGGTTTCAAATAGGGCTGTTGATTTAACACGTTAAACTAGTTAATTAGTTGTGGAAAAAAATAACACATTAAAATTCTTAATGTAATTGATGCACCCGCCCCACGTACGTCATCTTACTTTGTGCTCGACTTGAAGTGGCGCTGTGCAGATCGATCAGTGTTTGACATCAATGTACCACGAAAGCGATTTGAAAGCATATGGATCCGTCTGCTCTCTATAGAAACATTTCTTCCTCGTACACCGATTGGACTGCGCAACGCCGCTTCAAGCCGAATACACCTATACAGTTGATTGATGACAAACATGATGCAAAGCAACAACTCACTGCATGATGGAGCCTCCACTCAAATTCACACAAATTCAAGAGATTGGGGAAAAATGCCCCAGTATGAGATTTGGTCTCATATTTAAATCATATGATATAGTTATAGTTAAGCAATATCACACGAGCAACAAGGTCAATATCACACCAGTGCTGTTTTTGTTCCAAATAGCATGACTGCAAATGTCATATTGATTTTATACTACAGTTCAATAAATAAGAACTTAAAATTGTGTTATATTTTAGACACAATATTGTCTGTTTTTGCTCAGTTTTGCCACTGCAAATATTACCTATTAAAGCCACAGCAGAACTATTGTGCGTCTCCGAGCAACGAATGTTGTGATTCCCATTCATAAAAAGTTATTTACTTAATTCCTGAATGAATCAGCCATTTGAACAAATTGAATGAATGAATGAATGACTCAGTGACTTATTCGTTAAGACAGTTCATGCCCTGCCACCTACTAGCAGTTTTAGTTTCTTAGAGTATTTTCATAAAAATAAAAAAAATCATATTTACATATTAATAAGAAATCTGAAAATAAAACCCATATTAATAAAAAAAAAAACTAATTAAATGAATAGTTTAACCCCCCCAGTGATGAAGCTGGCATGTGTTTGCTCTTCTTTTGATTGCAGATGTCAGTATTTTGTTAATCTCATCTGATAGGAGATATTGATGAGACGTGAGATTACTGCAGATTTTTTTTCACAGGATAAAAATGTGATTTATTTTTGTTTTGTGCATGTTTTCTCAGCGATCTTGCCTAACATACAATTTCAGTTGGCAATAATGAACACCTGCTCTGCAGAAAACAGTGATGCAAGGTGACTTTCCTCAATGCTAATGACACCGCAGACTCCCCAAGATGAGTCAGTCAAGTCAGGGGTTCTTGACTGAGATGGAAATCAGGCCCAGCCCCTTTGATGGCTAATGATAGGCGCTAAAGTACGCCGTTCTTGCTTACTCTTACTCTTGTCTCTACTGTCCTTTATACTGACAGAGCTTAATGACCCAGTCACATCTGACTTGAGAAGCTTTGCACTAAGTAGGAGGTCATGCAGAAGCAAGAATGCACTTCTGCAGGGCAAATAGTGTCAGGCTTGAAAAAGTGCCGTGCATTTTGCACATCAAAGATTTGAGTGTGAAGCAGACTTGCTGCCCACCACGCTGTAACTAACAGGGTGACTGTTTGTCATTACCATAACAGCTTCTAATATCAGCATGTTTAATTGATGTATGGCTTGTTTATGAAGGGCGAACAGGGGTTAGTTGATTTATCGATTCTTAGTTTAAGTCTTCAACCTCACGTCACAGTTAAAGAAAAATGTTCCTTGAAAATTGTTCCCACACTTTGCAGAATCAGGCCTTTTTTGGTCTGCATCAGCACATGCAGCAGTTGATAGATGATATGTTGCAATCAATGGTGTTTTTAAAACACAATCTACATCAGTCTGTCATATTTCATCAGACTACAATACGTATATTCACATGCGTTCGCTCTTCTGTTTTTTATTTATTTATTTTTTTTTTATTAATTTACTGATATCAGTGCACCCTAGAATGCACTTTTGTTAAGGTGCCAGTCACCACAAGGCACGGTACAAATTCCCGTCTCCTGCGTGCCAGTTCATGCTCTCATCTGACAGTACAGGCCTCGGGACTCCTCCACAGCTCTGATTTAGACTGTTTACCTGAGTTCTGACCTGCCAGACTCTACGTACAACCAGATTAATATACAGAATCAAGAAATCTGCTGCTAAAATCGATGAGCTTTTACAATTAAAGCATTTAGGTACCATATTAAATGCTGGATTGACTGAGCAATGATGGGCTATTTATATATAAATCTAGATAACCCATATTACTTGCACAGAGGCTGGTCAAGACATTTTAGTCATATTTTTTATTTCTTTGAACTATAAAAAGGAGTTAAATTTGGTCTACCACACCAAGCAATCAGCAAGAAGTATGTGGGAAGACTGTATTCACTCTTTCTGACCGTTTCACTCTTTTGCAAGTCCCAGTATTATGGTTCGGTCATGCTAACCACATCACAATAATCCACAAATGGACTCCAGTCCATCAATTAATGACTTGAGAAGAGAAAAGTTGCGTTTGTAAAAATCTATAAAAACGGTTATAAACAAACATGTTGGTATATTTTGAAGTGAGACGACAACAGGGGATGGACTTTTTACACTGGAGGAAGCGTTATTATGCATTATGAACTATTTTGGCCAAAAGCTGTTTAACGTTAATGCATATTAGTTATGGATTTGTTTCTTTTAGTTTTTAGTTTCACAAGATGTCTATCTGTCTGTCTGTCTTGCCTTCAAAACATTCAAACTTTAATCTTTAAAACTATTTTAAACTTGAAAACCATAAAACTTTTAAAACCTTTATAAAACTTTCTGGTCTGGCTCTCTCAAGCCAACTTCAAAGTTTTTCTTGACAAACTTTTATCTAGTTATACAAAAAATATACCGTGATTTATTTTGTCTGCAAAATAATACAAGTAACTCACCCTCCAACTTTTAAATCCTTTTAAATCCCAAATGCAGCTGAAACTATTCAAATCTGTATGTGTGTAAATTAACTCCACAGCAGTCTATATGCTTCATTTTAAATCACAGCCTTTGATTTGATAATCACAATTTAATAAGATATATCAGTGGCTACGTTTTTATTTAGATTATTTGTGCAGCCCCATTTGTTCATTTTAATGTTACATTACAATTTGCAAGCCCCAGTCTGAAAAAACCCTGACTTGGTGAATAACTACTGCTGTGATCACTAGAAAACGAATGCCATGACATACACAAACAACGCTGACTCGGTGATCGCGAGAAATTATAATACAATCATTCAAGTAGGTAAATACTAATTGTATAATTTGCATGTGAATGGCAAAGCGTTGTTAGCAGCACCTGGTTAAACTGGATTGCGGGTGGCTGACAAAGACAAAGGTTTATGAACTGAAATACGGTGCACAAAAAAGTGCTGCAGCGGTTTAGTGAATTGGTCCCACAGTGTTTAATACATTTCAAATGTGCTGAACACCCCACCTATGCTGACATAGTTGACAAATGCATGTGGATACATTTCGCCCAAATAAAATTGTATAATTGAAGTCAAAGCAAATTGTAGAATACCACAAGCATGCCAGCCAAATACACTAGAGGTGTTTTATGCTGTCACTCCCAGATGCTGTTGTGCTGGTGGTGCAGTAATTGCTTAAGCATCCAATATAATATAATTCATATAATAGATTGTTTTACATCAAATGTAAAACAATCTATTATCAAATGGAATGAGTAGGTCAGTGTGTATTGTAGTTAAGTATAATCAATTATTGCAATATAGTTTTATTAATACTGTGTATTACGTTTAAATGTAAAATTAGGAGCCATATTGAGGATGGAGTTAGATATACCAAAAAGGTGGGAAAGCTGCCCCTGACAGCAGGTTAATGTCTTGCAGCTGAACACCCACTGAGTCGTGATAAAATGCAGCTTTGTCACGCTGTAGTTCTCTCTCACAGCCTCAACACATGGCTACATTTTGCTGCCAAGCAGAGAACGATCTCCGTGCTTAATGTGCCCAAATGTATGAAATACCAGAGGGACGTTCCCAGCGCCGAGCCTCAGAGCGGAGCAGGTGGCAGCTGGTCGTCTTCACCCAGCTCGAAAATCTGCTCTTGACTCTTCACAACCCCAGTGTTACACAAAGCGCTGCAGTGTGGACAGTATGTATGCTTGTAAAATGATAACCTCATTTTAAAAGAGGTTTGCAAAAATGTCAGCCATTTAGGTGTACAGCCTCTGGCACACTGACATGTAATTAGTTTTATATGTTGCTCTGTTGGGTTGCTCCATTTAAGTTCTGTGTGTAAATGACACCCGGGGTTTTAAACATTTAAGGGAAAACCAGAAAATGTCAGGGAATTTGATAGTTATTAATTGATAAGAGAAATTATATTAAAAATAATACATTTAACATTTAAAATATTTTACATCAAATGTAAAACAATACATTGAATATTCTAAACCATTCAAATGATTATTTTTTAAATATTAAATTATAAAATTTAAATATACATTTCTGCTAAAATATTAATTTAATGGGAAATATAAGATAAGATATTACATTTAACATTCAAAATAAGCGCTGCAGTGTGGACAGTATGTATGCTTGTAAAATGATAACCTCATTTTAAAAGAGGTTTGCAAAAAT